CAAGTTATTTTTTAAAGTAGTTGTATTATTTAAAATTACATTTTAATGGATGTAATAATAACACTATAAAAAAGTTCTCGAAATTATAACATCTTCAAATCTTGATTGAAAAGTTTACAAACAGGAGCATTATTTGAATAAATTCTTTTATTACATTTTATAAATTTAATCAACAAAATGGCAAAAATCTTTTGTTTTCATTCATTATTTCAGTATCATCATACATTACGATCGATTCAGGATCCTACATCGATCTAAATTATACATTAGGTTTCAACTGTTTGAATAATTACTAAACAACTAGAACAATTACATTTTCAAATACATTTTAGAATATCCCTTAAGTGTTTATGTATTAATACCAATATGAAATTCCGAATTAGTAGACTGAATATTAATTTTCAATCACCAGCATCACAAATACGAGTAAGCTTCTGTTTTTTAAATTTTAAATTTTAGATTTTTAATTTTTTGTGAAATGCACCAAAGCTGCTCAAGTATGGTCTCTCCGATATGAATGGGTAGCGATAGATGATAAAAGAGTTTAAGTGATAAATTGCTTTAATATGAACCCACCACAAGATAAAGTATTCAATCATTAATTACTTAATGTTGACACTGCAATAATAGGACTCAAAAGTATTGCTTATATAAGTTAAATCGACTTTTAGTTGTCTTGTAAAATTTGTTTTAATAATCTTAGATTACTTAGATAACAGTAAACAGCATTTCGGTTGCAATCACTAAAGTGACTGGTAAGTTCCAAAATTTGGTACAAATTGGTTACCAAATCCTCTTAGTGTCCTCTAGAGACATCATCAATAATGGACTAATTACTTTCTAGCCTGATTATACTAGTGCTGCAATGAATTTAGAATAAAATAAGTGGTTAATTTTACCAATTTAAGGAATTCAATATAGTTATGCAGGTCAATTAACTTTAAGAATGTAGAAAAACATTGTAGCTTCAACAGTTACGTTTAGTTTTACAAAGTGAAAGATTAAATATTAATATAGGGCAATCTGAGAGTCCTCTTTTTAGAATTTAAAGTGTCCTGTTGTCATAATTGTTTGCAGTAAATTAAGCACTTTAATGCAAAACATTAAGAATAAGTTAAAAGTTAGATTATTCATAATGCAACAGGCCATAATTTGAAATCTAAATACTTCAATCAAATTTAATATATGATGCAATTGGACAATTTACAACTATTCTCTTTAAACCAATAACAAATATTGATTTCGTTCTGTTAGTAAATTGTATAACTGGAAAGCATGTTGTATCTTAATTTAATAAATGCAATGCATGTCCAACATAAAAATATTATTAATTTAACCACTATTGTCACTCATAAATTAATTTAATAAATTATTTTCCTAAGTTCACCTAACTAGATTAGGTTAATTAAGAGTTCACCATAACAATAACGAGTTCAAGCTGCTAAGTTAAGTAGATACTTTATAATTAAGTAAAAACAGAATACATTATTATAAATATCTAAATATAATGAACCTGTAAATTCAAAAATAGTCAATATTGGTATTGGAGATAAATTTGCTATATTTCCAGGTAAAATTGTGCCAATTTCTTACAATGATACCATTATGGATTTTGTCTCATGTGCAATTGAATTAATTAAGTTTGATAAAGCTTGTATATGCTAAAACAATCCAAAGAGTAATTTACTAAACCAAGATTATGTTTATCTAAATACTTCAATATATACATCCAAATTAAAGAATTGCAATTATTTTACATTTACAGGATGGTTTAAGATTAAAGAAATAATTCAAAATGACAAAGAAATGACATTGTAATTTATTAAATTAACTTCAAACATGTAAAATAGTTAATTTTAAAACTAAAATATATCTCCATATTATTAATAATAATAATTTAGAGATATGTTATAATCGAATTGTTACTAATATGCATAAATTTTCAGCTGAACAGTCAAAGGAGTAAAATTAGCAGTTAGAATGCCAAAAATTTGATGTTCTAGAATTCTGAACTCAATTTTACAAATTAGAACTCTATCACTAAAAGATGCTAATTTAAATATCCAATAGAGTTATCTCTGATGTTATACCCTAATATCAAAGTCGTAATACTATACATACTATTAATGATCTAAGAAATAAATACAACAAAATCAGAAAAGTTATAAACAAAGTATATTCAACAAATCTATGATTAAGTAGAATTGTCGATGTATGAGTATGAATCCTTTTAGTTTTGAACTAAAAAATTTATTAAAGGAAAAATAGAATGAAACATCAGATGAGGCATATTACATTAGAAATTAAATGAAAATCAATTAAACCACTTTGCTCAAAACAAGAGTGTCCAATTATTTTTGTACATTATGTTAACATGAGGATACTATTGTGGATTAAGTATGGAAAAGTTGTGAATAATTATTAAAAATTGATAATTTAGAAGTTCATCTTTTTTTATGAATATATATGATTATTGAAGATAATTAAGTCCTCAAGATGATCTCAAAATATTCTCCCTTTAAATTGATTGATTGAATTCTTATGTAGAGATTTTTAGTCACTTGATGATGTTGGGGTATTAATCCATTAGTTGAAGAATAGGATCAAGGTTTGAAATTGAAGAAAGTTATTTTTTCTCTGTTAAAAAAATTTTATATTAAATATTAAATCTCAGATTAATTTAAGAATGGTCAAGAAGGGAGTGAATTTTTAAAATTCAATTTTTAATTCAATAGTACTCTAATGTATTCTCACTATTGGATATTTAGAATTAAACAATAATTAAAAATGAAAGCCCCAATTTATTAATTAATTACATATAGGAAAAATGGAATAATAATCAATGGCATTTGCTGATTTTGATCACCAATCCAGATATTGTACTAGATAAGTATCATACATGAAGGTGGGAGTGAAATAATATTGATGATTAATTATTATATATTTATAATTTCTTTATTCTGAAAATAAATCATAAAAGATATTTATTATGTTCTTTTTTTAATTACATAATTCTTATCAAATTGATATGCCTGAGGATAGTCATTTTCTATCTATTTTTGAAGTCTGTCATATTAATATTAAGTTGGAATGTATTCCTAGACACTAGGTAAAAGATATGTTGATTTTCCTAAGAAATTGTTGAAACTTCAGTTATTTGAGGGAAAGGAGATTGAAAATTATTATCTAAAAACATTTTAGAGTAATGTTTGTTTTTTAATTGGAAAATACTAAAGTGGTATCCTATTATCAATTAGTTGTTCTAATATATTAAAAATTTTGAACAAAAGTTTAGAAAATTAAGGAAAACCTTGGTTAGAATTCAAGATTATTGATTGAACAATTAGGTAAGAATATGAAAATAATCCTTAAATCGATCAATTTAGTGATTAAATTATATAACAAGGTATGTTATTCACTAAGGTTATGAGTTTTTTGGATATATTCAAATATAAGAAATTAATCATTTAGAAATCAATATATTGTACGAATGAAGGATAAAATTAAGTGTATATATTATAATATTCATTACAGAAATAGTTTACTTTAGAATTGCTTTAAATCAAATTTAATCATTAGAAAATGTTGGAAGTAGCAGGCACTTATCTGTTATTTTAAAAAACTCCAAGTATTAATTAAGCAATTTTTCTAACTTGCTTATACTTCTGAAAAATAAATCTCCACTGTTAAAATCCATCAATCCCCAATTAAATAGATAATATTGAAGTCATGCTAAAAATGCAACACCATCCAAAATATTATCTAATTTCATATGTAAAATAGGCTAACTCAAAATCACAAGTCAAAATTGTAATACTCAAAAGTGTACAAGAGATGCTAACTTCAGAATATAACTATTTAAAATACTCCAATTTATCCTCTATAGGATTGAAAAAGATATAAAATAGACTCGTCGAGATTGATAGAAGCATAATGCTGATAGTTTGAAAGGTTGGAAATTCATATGCGAAAATTAATAAAAGCATAAAGATAAGTTTTTTGATCAAAAGTATAGCGTTAAGATATTTGGAGAACTGATTTTTTTTAATTCCATCAAAAATAGATCCATATTTAGCCTAGATCTCCTAATTATTCAAAGCATATTTCTTCATCTAGGATATTTTTATTACAAAGTAGATGGTAAATATATATATTGAACTTGCAACGCAAGCCAATAAAGAGCTTAATCTGATAAAATAATTAGGTGAGTTAAGTTCTAAGGCATACAATTGCAATACTACACTGAAAGTAAAATCATATGCTGTAGCCATATGAGCACGTAAGATTCCACTATAGAAAAATTCTTAAATGATTACAAAACATAGTTTATTAATGATAAACTTAATTGTCAAAAAATATACTCCAATTTATACAAGTCTCGAGTTTTCGGCTAAAGATTCAGAATAAAACTTAAATTTGAATGAATATAAAAGTTTAGGTATCACTTTTGCAATGGCATAGATACCAAAAAGTGAAAGCCAAACTGTAGCAATTGTTGCAGAATTAATAATAAAAAGTGATGTTATTTCATCACTTGCTACTTTGGAGGGTATCTTCTTTAAATGTTCAGTATCGAGTAGTTCATCAATAAATCCCGAGAAATCAAAGATTTTTTAAATAAAGTTAAATTAAGCAAATCCAAATAGTTCAAAATAGGATTATAAATTATACGGGAGTTGTGTATTGATGTATTTAAAATAGGATAGCATTTAGAGAGTATCCAACAAGTTGAAAAAGACTTCTACTCCTCCGAATATCACTGATCCTCCACACATTGCTCCAATAAAGTAGAGCATGTAGGTGTTACTCTTTGTAGCCATTTGTACTTGAGCAATGGCAGCGTCATCTATAAATATAACTTTAGGTATAAGACAAGAGACTTCAGTTTCGATTTGGGAGTATCCTTCATTTGAATAAATGACAGATTTATTTAAGAATTTGACTATTAAGTTTTCATCTTGTGAACTTCTTGAGAAAGTGATATTCATCATCAAACTGAATTCAGATTAATTAAACTCATTGATTTATTAAGTATCTTGAGTGAGTTGAATGGACTGATCGATTTATTGTACACCAAGGTTGTTCGAGATGTGAAAGGTTAGATAATCTTTGATTTGAAAACCTTCTTTAATAACTATTGGAGAAGTATAGTATAATTTAAATAATCGAGTAACAGAATAGATTTAAGAAGAGCCTACACTCTATAATAATGGTTTTGGATAGTTTGGTATGATACTTACACCGTTTACAAATATGTACTTACCTTCTAGTCGACATTAATTATCACACCCATCACCTTTAATAGTGTTACCATCATCGCATTCTTCCTCTTTTACTTTAATTTAATCTCCACATATATTTAAACAAGTTCCATTATCCTCATCGGCATAGTATCCAGATTCGCAGAGTTCACACTTGTGATTCTTTTATTATGGAAACTTACAACTTACGCAATTATAGGCTTGATCAATACATTCTAAACAATTGATTGAACATTCAACACAATCATTTTTATCTAAGAAATATCCAAACTCACATTTGGTACATTGCGACTTTTTTGTCTGAGGATCAAGTTGGCATTTAATGCAATGAGTCGAACATTGAAAACAAATTGACTACTTTAGTATCTCATTAGAACAAGAATAATTATGATCAATCTTGCAATTCGAGCAACCATCTCTAATTACATCATTACCATCATCACATTCTTCTCCATATGTCCAAATTTTATCATTGCAATCTGAGTATTTACAAATTTCTTAAGATTTCCCTTAATCAGTCAAACATGATATACACAATGCATCTTCACTCTCAAAATAATCTTAAGAACATTAACATTTGTGATACTTTAAAATTCGATGTAGTTTTTAGTCACAAGTCAAACAATTTAATTAATCATCAATACAAGTTAAGCAAGTTTAATGACATTGGGAACAACTGTTCTACTTCCAGAAGAACCCAGGACTACATTTACATTGAGCATTTTCATCTAAGTGTAAATTAGATAATTGAAAACATTCTGAACATATTGATTAACTTAAACACGTTTTGCATGGATATTCACATCTATAACATTGATTCTACTCTTCATAGTATCCAAATTTACAGAAACATTAATTATTAGAATTGATTTCATAATTGGGTCTACATGTAACACATTTATCAGAAACTTCATTGCAAGTTAAACAATTTTGATTACATGCCTCACATTTCCAATCCAATAGATAATAGCCATCAAAGCAAACATCACATATTTATGGATCACCACATACCTTACAAGAAGGAACACATGCTTCACATTGAGACTATTAATTTATAAAGTAACCCTCTTAACAGGTTTAGCAAACACTTTGATTGTAGCAAATATCACAATAATCAATACATTATAAACATCTATTGATATTAGTCAGAAAATATCCTTTTATACAACTATTACAACTATCTACTCCTTAACAATCTGAACAATATTCATCACAACAGTAATTTCCCTTTTTTACAAACCCTTCCTTACATAAGCATTTAAAATTTTAGACTATCTAGTTTGGATCCATACATGTTAAACATTGGCTAACAGAATTGATACAAGTAGTACATGGATTTAAACATTGAAGACACACATACCCTGATTAAACATATCCAGATTTACAAATGCACTATTTATTGGAATCCAGGATTTGATTTACGTCTATGCAGTTGATGCAACCAATTGTATCGCATTCATAACATGGTTATTAACACTATGCACAAGTTATTGGGCTATCAGCATAATAAGTAGACTTGCAAACACATTATTTTGAAGAATTAACTTCCTGATTTATATCCAAACATGTTAAGCATTAAGAAGTAGATATCTCACATGTTTTACATGGTTATTAACAACTAATACAATTATAATTAGGATCGATAATCCACCCAGGCTCACAAACACAAGTATCAGGGGATTAATGTGTTTGATCATAACAGGTAACACATTTATTAATTGTATCTACACATTCTAAACATGGTAATTAACATTAATTGCATGTGACACCATCAGCATCTAAAAGCCAACCTAATTAACAAACACATTAATATGAACTATTGACTATTGAATTTGGATCCAAGCAAGTTAAACAGTGACTCTAATTGAATTCACAAGTTTCACATGGACTTACGCATACATCACATGTTTGAGAATCAACTTAAAAATAGCCAAAGGAGCAATCACATTTATATGGTATAGCAGTACTTAATGTAAAAGTAGTGACACAATCTGTACAATTAGTAGCATTATTTTCACACTTTGAACATGGTGCTGCACATGGCTAACATTAATTTGATCCATCTGTATAATATTCATCAGCGCAAACACATTGATAATTGACAGCTGTTCTGTTACTATCAATGCAAGCTGTGCAGGAAGTTGAGGCATTGACGCACTCTGAACAAGGTGACGTGCAAGGAAGACATGATGAACCAGAAAGATATTGGCCAGCATCACATGATGTACAAGTAGTAGTAGTAGTTTAACAAGTTTTACAAGAAGCATCACAAACTTAGCATAAAGTCCCAATAATTAAATAATGATCCACACAAGTTTAACATACAGAATTACTAGTACAAGTTGCGCAGTAAGTGGGGCATGAATTACAACTCGATGTAGCTTTATAATACTTAGGAAAACAACTTGAGCAGAAAAGTCCACTTCCACCACTACAAACTTCGCAATTAGATGAACAACTACTGCATTGCTTTATAGGTGTAACATAATATGCTGTCTTACAAGTATCACACGTATAAGGAATTGTACAAATTATGCAATTTGATGAGCAAGGTATACAATCGCCGCTAATATCAACTTCTCCTTGATTGCAACTTTGAGTTACTAGAATAGAATAAGGTATCCTTACATAAGCAGTTCATAAAAATAAGGTTGAGACTAAACAGGAAGTTGTACATTAATATAATAAATAATATATAATTAAATAGATGATGCAATAAGGGTTTAATAGATATAAATATAAGAGATTAAAAATATTAATCACTTTTTAAATGATCTCAGAGATTAAAAATGATATTACGCTTGTAGAATTCATATGTAGAATTTGCAAAGATATACAAATATCTTTTTATTCCTCATACTTTACAATTGATTAATTAAATATTTTAATATCCCTTTTTAATATTATTAAAAATTAAACAATTATTTTCTTGAGCGACCTACATTTTTAAGAAAATAACAATAGCTATTTCATTCTAATTCCTATTATTTTTGTGTTAAAATGATTGTGAGCATTATTAGAATTTTGAAGTATTGATAATTATTAATTAATTTTAATCACTTTATGTAAATTAGATTATTATTTAATTATTATTTTATATTTCTGGGCAAATGAAGGAATAAATTTTATAGTAAGCATAAAATAATATTTTAACTAATATTTTTGTGGGATTCTAACAAATTAATATTTATCTACAAATTTAGTCCAAAATAATGTCAAATCTAATTTTAGTGCCATTATGAACTAAAGCATAATAAAGAAAGAAATTTTTCAATTTTTTATCAAATCAAAGTCTTAACCACTCTAATTTAATTTATACTAATTTCTCACAAAAAGAATAACGATATTACTNATCACCTTTAATAGTGTTACCATCATCGCATTCTTCCTCTTTTACTTTAATTTAATCTCCACATATATTTAAACAAGTTCCATTATCCTCATCGGCATAGTATCCAGATTCGCAGAGTTCACACTTGTGATTCTTTTATTATGGAAACTTACAACTTACGCAATTATAGGCTTGATCAATACATTCTAAACAATTGATTGAACATTCAACACAATCATTTTTATCTAAGAAATATCCAAACTCACATTTGGTACATTGCGACTTTTTTGTCTGAGGATCAAGTTGGCATTTAATGCAATGAGTCGAACATTGAAAACAAATTGACTACTTTAGTATCTCATTAGAACAAGAATAATTATGATCAATCTTGCAATTCGAGCAACCATCTCTAATTACATCATTACCATCATCACATTCTTCTCCATATGTCCAAATTTTATCATTGCAATCTGAGTATTTACAAATTTCTTAAGATTTCCCTTAATCAGTCAAACATGATATACACAATGCATCTTCACTCTCAAAATAATCTTAAGAACATTAACATTTGTGATACTTTAAAATTCGATGTAGTTTTTAGTCACAAGTCAAACAATTTAATTAATCATCAATACAAGTTAAGCAAGTTTAATGACATTGGGAACAACTGTTCTACTTCCAGAAGAACCCAGGACTACATTTACATTGAGCATTTTCATCTAAGTGTAAATTAGATAATTGAAAACATTCTGAACATATTGATTAACTTAAACACGTTTTGCATGGATATTCACATCTATAACATTGATTCTACTCTTCATAGTATCCAAATTTACAGAAACATTAATTATTAGAATTGATTTCATAATTGGGTCTACATGTAACACATTTATCAGAAACTTCATTGCAAGTTAAACAATTTTGATTACATGCCTCACATTTCCAATCCAATAGATAATAGCCATCAAAGCAAACATCACATATTTATGGATCACCACATACCTTACAAGAAGGAACACATGCTTCACATTGAGACTATTAATTTATAAAGTAACCCTCTTAACAGGTTTAGCAAACACTTTGATTGTAGCAAATATCACAATAATCAATACATTATAAACATCTATTGATATTAGTCAGAAAATATCCTTTTATACAACTATTACAACTATCTACTCCTTAACAATCTGAACAATATTCATCACAACAGTAATTTCCCTTTTTTACAAACCCTTCCTTACATAAGCATTTAAAATTTTAGACTATCTAGTTTGGATCCATACATGTTAAACATTGGCTAACAGAATTGATACAAGTAGTACATGGATTTAAACATTGAAGACACACATACCCTGATTAAACATATCCAGATTTACAAATGCACTATTTATTGGAATCCAGGATTTGATTTACGTCTATGCAGTTGATGCAACCAATTGTATCGCATTCATAACATGGTTATTAACACTATGCACAAGTTATTGGGCTATCAGCATAATAAGTAGACTTGCAAACACATTATTTTGAAGAATTAACTTCCTGATTTATATCCAAACATGTTAAGCATTAAGAAGTAGATATCTCACATGTTTTACATGGTTATTAACAACTAATACAATTATAATTAGGATCGATAATCCACCCAGGCTCACAAACACAAGTATCAGGGGATTAATGTGTTTGATCATAACAGGTAACACATTTATTAATTGTATCTACACATTCTAAACATGGTAATTAACATTAATTGCATGTGACACCATCAGCATCTAAAAGCCAACCTAATTAACAAACACATTAATATGAACTATTGACTATTGAATTTGGATCCAAGCAAGTTAAACAGTGACTCTAATTGAATTCACAAGTTTCACATGGACTTACGCATACATCACATGTTTGAGAATCAACTTAAAAATAGCCAAAGGAGCAATCACATTTATATGGTATAGCAGTACTTAATGTAAAAGTAGTGACACAATCTGTACAATTAGTAGCATTATTTTCACACTTTGAACATGGTGCTGCACATGGCTAACATTAATTTGATCCATCTGTATAATATTCATCAGCGCAAACACATTGATAATTGACAGCTGTTCTGTTACTATCAATGCAAGCTGTGCAGGAAGTTGAGGCATTGACGCACTCTGAACAAGGTGACGTGCAAGGAAGACATGATGAACCAGAAAGATATTGGCCAGCATCACATGATGTACAAGTAGTAGTAGTAGTTTAACAAGTTTTACAAGAAGCATCACAAACTTAGCATAAAGTCCCAATAATTAAATAATGATCCACACAAGTTTAACATACAGAATTACTAGTACAAGTTGCGCAGTAAGTGGGGCATGAATTACAACTCGATGTAGCTTTATAATACTTAGGAAAACAACTTGAGCAGAAAAGTCCACTTCCACCACTACAAACTTCGCAATTAGATGAACAACTACTGCATTGCTTTATAGGTGTAACATAATATGCTGTCTTACAAGTATCACACGTATAAGGAATTGTACAAATTATGCAATTTGATGAGCAAGGTATACAATCGCCGCTAATATCAACTTCTCCTTGATTGCAACTTTGAGTTACTAGAATAGAATAAGGTATCCTTACATAAGCAGTTCATAAAAATAAGGTTGAGACTAAACAGGAAGTTGTACATTAATATAATAAATAATATATAATTAAATAGATGATGCAATAAGGGTTTAATAGATATAAATATAAGAGATTAAAAATATTAATCACTTTTTAAATGATCTCAGAGATTAAAAATGATATTACGCTTGTAGAATTCATATGTAGAATTTGCAAAGATATACAAATATCTTTTTATTCCTCATACTTTACAATTGATTAATTAAATATTTTAATATCCCTTTTTAATATTATTAAAAATTAAACAATTATTTTCTTGAGCGACCTACATTTTTAAGAAAATAACAATAGCTATTTCATTCTAATTCCTATTATTTTTGTGTTAAAATGATTGTGAGCATTATTAGAATTTTGAAGTATTGATAATTATTAATTAATTTTAATCACTTTATGTAAATTAGATTATTATTTAATTATTATTTTATATTTCTGGGCAAATGAAGGAATAAATTTTATAGTAAGCATAAAATAATATTTTAACTAATATTTTTGTGGGATTCTAACAAATTAATATTTATCTACAAATTTAGTCCAAAATAATGTCAAATCTAATTTTAGTGCCATTATGAACTAAAGCATAATAAAGAAAGAAATTTTTCAATTTTTTATCAAATCAAAGTCTTAACCACTCTAATTTAATTTATACTAATTTCTCACAAAAAGAATAACGATATTACTAAGTATGCCTGAAAATGATATTTAATCTCTCTTACTCTATAATATCTTAAAAGAAATTAATACCATTAAGAATATAATAATCTCGGTATCACTTTGAATTTTTGCATTTAAATACTTAAAGGATTAGAAGTTTGATTCAATTACCAAATTGCCATTTTATATTTTATTTAATAAATAATTTAATATATTGTCAGTATTGTCAATATTGTATTGAGACTTGTGAAAAATTGTCTTAGGATCTACATAAGAGAATGTAAAACTAAATGCTAAAAGAATAATATAATTTAATCAATAGAAAATTTTAATGGTAGACTACAGATTTAATTCGAAAGTTATAGAATTTGGATCAATATATTTGATCTCATATTTATGATATTATGGTTTATTTGTCAATCAATGAATTTCTAATTCAAATCATTGATTATTTAAATTGAATGTTAAAATAACATGATCTTGCTATGTAGATGAAAATATAAACTTCTTGTTTTTCTGATTAGGCTATTTAGATAATTTATTGTCACTTTTCATTCTTTTTGTATGCAGACAATTCCTTTATTCTTCACCATTCCCTTCTAAATAAAATGATTGATTTTCTAGTATTAATAAACATTAATTCTAGTTTTTAATTAAAGGAATTAGTTAATAGTAATTTCTTAAAATTAATGATGTATTGGTATATTAAGATGGTTACAATGAATGTGATAAGGGTGTTGCAACATTTTAGAATTTCCATACGGTCTTATTATTTTTAATTAATACTATTAATTTATGCTATGCTAAAACAAATATTTTAAATTTCATAGTCTTCGTTATTGAAATGAACAAAAAAAATTGATAAATTATGACCATCATTTCTTAATATTATTGATTCTTTGCTAAATTAACTAATGATATGTTCACTTTAATATATATCAGCCATTTTCTACTAATATCAATAAATCAAACTAGAATCTCACAACAATGTCTTATTTTTGATAACTTTCTAATTTTGAACAACAGAGGAGCAGGTATTTTCGACAAAAAATTGATATATTTATTTACTGAATGGTTGAGCTAGAAAGTAATTCTGGCAGTTTACCTTTTTTCATTAGATGCATTTATTTTCATTGAAATCAAACTCAAATACTTAATTTCCAAATTACTAAAATAGTAATGTATTTTTTTAATACTTTTCAATTAAGTTAATTTTTATAATTAATGATTATTTGTTTATCATAATTCAATAATAGAGATATTAACCAATAAAGAATTAACTTACAATCCAAAAATCAAGTCTGTCATCCTACCTGAATTTATAATGATGAGTAACAACTTTTTATCAGGTATATTTATAACTTTTCTATTCCAGTTGATCTCTGAAAAATGAAGATATTATCCCTTTTTAGTTATGAATTAACAGGATTAATCTGAAAATCATATATATGTTGGAGGTATTTTAGATGATTTGAAACTAGTATTATTTTATTTTCTTAATAATATTTGGACTGTCATTTGCTAATAAATATACCAGTATCTTTTTCTTGTACATTCCATCCACTTTACTTTCTTCTAAAGTA